TGAAAGATCTAGCAGCGAGGAAGACATTGTTTTGTGAACACCCAGAAGAGGAAAAGAAAAAAAAAAGAGCCAAACCCAAAATAAACATCGTGTATGGCATTGAATTTGATGTTAACTCAGCTTTTCCTGCAGCAGAGAATCAGCATGGGATGAGGAATGAGAAAATCTTGTTACTGGCCAGCTCAGAACGAGTGCTGTCCCAGTGGAGTTCTGGCTCATTTTYCCTTCACAGGACTTTAAAATTAAGGATCCAGAGGATAGAATTGAAGTAAAAATATCCTTTTCTGCACCCTGAAAAGGCATTTTTTGCAGCTGTGATTAACCAAATCCTCCTTAAAGTCTCTAATAAATAGACTAGTTTGGGGGTTTTTTTTCTCCTTTCTTTGTTCCAAGATGTAAAGATTCTTGAGAGAGGAACTATCACTGAGRTCTCTGGTGGAAGAGAAGCATTTTGGGCATTTGTTTGCACATCCTCTCAATTTCTGTCTTCAATTCCTCCCAAGGCCCCTCTCAAAAACCCTCCTGAAGTGCACAAAAGGTTATTTTTGCGTGTGCCACACTTTATTCAGCGTGAGCTGAGGTGAGGAGGGTTGGTGACCACAGGGGAAGACTGAACTCATATCCCCTCATCAAAACAGCACCTGGTACAAGATCCCAACATCTGAATGAAGACAGATTAGCAGTGACAGTTTGAATTACCAGAGCATGGTGTGYTGCATTCTCTCCTTGGAAAATGGAATTATTAAAACTTTTCTTTCCCCCAGCCAACAGAAATCACTTTCTTGCAAAAATGAAATTCTGGCTCCAAGGAGGAAAGGAAAAAAAAGGGTCTTTGGGCATTCCGTTGGGCAGAAGCTTCTCCACATCTCCATCCCTTTGCTGTGATTTCTGCCTGCCCAGAAAACCAACCAAACCCACCAACTTCATTCTTTTAAAAACAAATGAAAAAGCCAAATGTTTATAGGCAGTTTCCTTTTACAGCATCTATTCTGAGGCTCAGCTTGCTTTTTGAAAGGAAAATTCAGTTTAACCTAGAACTCTGATTGAGTTTATTTATTCTTTTGACCCCTTCTGAAGTCATAGCAGTCATCAGTAGTTCTGCAGCTGCWGCTCCTCAAGAAACCAGGTAAAGCACAGACTGGCAGGGACTGATGATTTCCAATTACTTTATTCTGTTTRGTTGCTCTGGAAAGATTCCTTTTCATGTTAACAGACATCAGAGGTTCTGATTTATCTGAAACCCTCTAAAAATACTCCCTTAATTCAGAGAACAYTGCTGCAAACATGACCTCCCCTGTGTTTCTGATACTATCACCAACAAAATGGATATCACAGGCTGCTCTTCCCAGACTCCCAGCTCCGTGCTGTAGCACTAGAAGCAATTTATGGTTCATGTTGATTTTTTTCAACATGAACCATTTCACTGGGAAAATTATTGATGATGCTGGCAATCTTGGAATCAGAAAATAAAGTGCTTCTCTTGATACAAACATACACATGAGGTGACAAGCCCTGCCTCAGTGGCATCGGTGCTTGTGAGCTGCTGTCTCCAAAAYAATGAGCTGTCAAAGCTTCACTGCAATTTGCATTTGAGTTAGCAGCAAAGAAATCCAGAGGTTCTTTGGCTTGCTGAATGAYAGTGTTAAATCTCTACGTTTGCTTACCCAGCGTGAAAATTCACTGAAATGACAGCAAAGTGGGAGAAGTAAACAGCATTTTTCAGGTCGCAGCAACACTTGGGTTTACCATTAGTGTACGTTAGTAAGTAAATCAGTGATATAAAGTAAAAAAAAGTGTGTCATGTTTTACTCATGTAGCCTCCCTTGAAGCCAACACACTCCAGAACCCCCAGGATAAGCTGTTGTTGTGGGAGAATGAGTTCTGCACCACATCTTGTGATGGCTGTTGTCTTGTGATTGATTGTTAACATCATGGAAAAAGATTGTTTGCTCTCTCTCTTTTTTTCACTTCTTTTTAGCTTCAGGGCACTAGAATTTATCGAGCAGTGGATTTTTAAAGATGCTTAAACAACCAGAAAGCTTTTGAAAACGTAGTCTAGGTATGAAGTTGCCCACCTGTGGGTTTCCTCTCATGCTACTTGTCTGACATGTTACTGCCATCAAACACGACAGAGACCACAGGCAGGATCAGTGAAATGTATTTCAGTTCTGGACCCTTATCTTCTTTTTCATTCCAAGCATTACTTTTTGCCATGTCAGGGAAGATCTGGTCAAAGATCAAATCTTTGCTTTGATTGTTTTTTGATTACAGTGAATATTTTGCATGTTATAAACTCCTGTATGAAGTAATGTTAATATTCATCAGCAGAATGAGACATTGCATGTCTATTCCTGTCCTGATGTCACGTGGAAAATGAGACCTTGCTTGACCATATTATCCTAAAACCATCCTAATAAAAGATCTGAATGCTGAGAAGAAGCAGTATGAGACAGCATCAGTGAACACTGGCTTTGTTACCCTGGTCTTCACATGGAGACAGTGCTAAATCCTCTCCAAGGGCAAGCAAATTTTGGGTCTGCTTCTGTCCCTGCCTGGAAGAGAGGCACATGCAGGCACTCCCAAGGATGTGATGCTGTGGTTTTGTGGRAAGGAAGAAGCTCTGCCCAAGCATCAGCAGGAAGGGTGACGCCACGAGTGCCAGCAGGGTTAGATACCAGTCTTCTTTTTTTCTCTGAAAATCTCCATGCTGGGCCTATCAGCAAAATCTGCCTCGTCTACAATGATGTAATTYACAGCTGCCTCCCCTGTGGGAGGTGGCCAGTCAGCAGGAGAGGTCASTCTGGAGCTCTGGGTCTGTAGAGAAAGGAATATGACAGGTGTGTGGCATGTTTTCATTTCATGTCAGTGCCAGGTCCAACGTGCTGCTGGAAATCTTTTAACTCCAGGAAATATGCAAGGTAAGGCTGCTGGAGCATTGCTTCCAGCATTACCCTTAAAATGGCATGTTATTAAGTATGGAAAAAAAAGTGTTCAGAAAGGTGTCAGCTGCTCCAAGAGTATCTTGAGAGATTAACACACTCGTATTACCTGCTGGTCTTTGAGTAAAACTGAGGGGTTTTTTTAATCCAAAAAGCCCCTGTTTTGTTTTTTTGTTTTTTTTTTTAAACTCAGCCAGAAGAAAAACAGACTCTGTTCAGTGCCAGGCATTGTTTTCACTGTCATTGAAGAAAATACCAATTAAAGGCTGCTTAAATTCCTGATTTGGACACACTGATCCATCCATTGGGCAGCCTGCTGAGGAAAATCTRAAAGTTAAGCAGGAGCTTTGAAGCCTGTGGAAAGCAGCAATGAAACCTAACCCTGTGCCATATGTGTTAAACATATCTTGTGAACTTGGGCAGCTTTGGGTGAACTTAGACCTTTCCCTGAGATGGAAGATAAAATCATTCTAACAGCCARAGCAGGGAAATACTGGGCTCAGGATTTGGTCTTCGAGGAGCTTTTGCTGTTGACTCCAGCACCATTGTGACTGCAGTTGCCAGGCTGGTAAATGTGACAGCAAATTTGGGTGCTGCTGGCATCATCAATGACAAAATTCTGCAGCAYTGAATTACCCCTGAGCTTCTGCAAAAATCTAGAGACACCTGAGTTACRTGGGTTTGGYAGRGGTAGAGAAACCTAGGTGAATTAAAGAGCTGGAGAGGGGATTTTGACAAGGGCAAGAGTGACAGGATGAGGTGTAGCAGCTTCAAAGCACCAGAGGGAAGGGTTAGATGGGATATTGGGAATAWATCMTTCCCTGTGAGGGTGACAGGCACTGGCACAGGGTGTCCAGAGAAGSTGTGGYTGCCCCTGGATCCCTGGAAGTKCTCAAGRCCAAGCTGGATGGGGCTCTGAGCAGCCTGGTCTGGTAGAAGAGGCTGGAACCAGATCATCTTTAAGGTTCCTTTCAACCCAAACCATTCTGAGATTCAGCAWACAGCTGGTCTTCAGTGTCACACTAGGAGATACCTAACAAAGACTTTCTTTTTCTACCTTTTCTCTCACAATTCAAACACACAAGAACTGAAAAAAAACCTCCCAAACCCACAGAAACTTAGCAGTGACTCAGGCTGTGGTTTACATTTGCTTTTTGCAAAGCAAATTCACTTGGCAACCTTTCTTTCAGATTACATTTTGAGAGCAAACTTGAGCTACCTCTTTTTATATAAAACACCCATTAATCCCGTACTTGGAAGGCAGCTTGTATCATTTTACTTATGACTTCCCTCGCACAGGCCTTACAGAATAGTACATTTCCATCCAACTCTTTTACCTGAAGGTGATTCCTGGCATCAAACACACAGTTGCAAAATACTGTACTATCACCTTTTTTTTCCAGAATGTGTAACACTGAGTTGCCATCTTTGCATGATGTAAAGTTTAGCTCCCGATGCTGCTTCTACTCATGCCCACGACCGTCAAACACGAAAAATCCAGCCTCTACTCTTTTAGCAACACAAACAGCAAGACTGGGCTGCAGTTTCCACTGTTTTAGCTAGGCAGCTCGAATTGGCAAAAACCTGATCTGGCAGCGACACGTGAACTGTGTGAACTATGAGTACAGAAAATCCTGCTTYAGCTCAGCTCGATGCAAAGCCAAGTTACACTGAACAACTTTCCCTGAGAAGCATCACCTGGCGAACAACCTACAGAGCCCACACGCATGCTATGCGTAACACCAGTAACACACACTCTGAAAGGCATTTAGCGCTTTTGTTTGCCTTTTTCCTTTCCCCCAYACGACCTAATCTGGATAYGCAAACCGTGTCCTGAACCTTCTTRCTGCTCCCGGCTCARCTCAACGCGGTGAATGACTCCGAGCCCACAACTTCGCCTGTGCCACCGATCTCCGTCTGCCTTTCCAACAGCGAGAACGCTCGTCCCCAAACACCACAGGGTTGAGAGCCGGGGCTAAAGACGGAAAGGGTGCCAAAGAAGGGAGGGACCGAGGTGTCAAARCCCTCCCGCCGCTTCCCCCCGGTGCCCCCAGCCCTTACCAGGCTCCGCCGGGGGAACTCTCCCATCACGATGCTGACCACCGGGATGCGCAGCGCCGCCGAGATGAAGTCCAGCTCCAGCATCTCGCCACGGCTCTGCGGGAAGGCGAGGATGGCCGAGACCCCCTGCACCACCACGGTGTGGCACAGGCTCTGCAGGAAGGAGACGGGGTCGTTGCTCCACGARGCGCTGGCCGAAGAGAAGGGGAAGAGGGGCAGGTCGCCCAGCCCCGCCTCGATCGCCATCACCACCTCCAGGGACAGGTTGTAGGGCAGCAGCCCGGGCACGCCGTTCAGGTTGGCCACGGCCATCAGCAGCGCGTCCCGCGGTGAGGGGGGCGGCCACCGCTGTCCGCCGCCGCCGCCGTCCCCCGCCCGCCG